ATCTACCGTGCCGGCTCACACTCCTTCACAGGAAAACACAAGCACGCTGTAATTAGGAATCAATCGCACACAAGACGAGTACTGGACCGTAGTCCGCTCCACACTGAGTGCATGGAACCGCTCTTTGAGCCTAGCACGGCCACAAGAACCGTGCACCCCGTCCCCTCCAGCAACGACCAACTGTCTCCTGGAGCCAGTATGAACGATGTAGTGGGTAATAGACAGGTAGGCACCTTGTCAACATACACATCAAGCGCAACCATACAAGGGATATCAAACAACAGCCATTCACTTTAAACGACAAGCTGAAAGTAAATAAATCCAATAATGCATACAGATACGGTGGCATAACTCTTCACTAAATTACCATATGAAGTAAGTTGGTTAGCAACAAATCGGTGATAAGTAAGAAATGTCCACAAGTTACTTTAAATGCTACAAACGCAACAAAATTACCGAAGATAAGCGCAATTAGTGTAAGCAATGTGGCCAGTTAATAGAACATTATTCAGGGAGGCAGAACAAACCAAATAAAGCGGAATGAAATTTAGCTAGTTTAAAAAGACCTAGTTTAAGTGTAAGTTGGTTTAGCCCAACTGCGGTGAAGAAGCATCAAGAATGCAACATCAGCCTCAGCATATATACATATATATATATGTATATATATATATATATATATATATATATATATATATATATATATATTCCACAGACCGCATTGGTGATTCGGAACGGTGTCCAACTAAAAATAGCCGCTGAATCCCTCGTCGTTGGTGACCTGATTGAGGTCAAATGTGGTGATCGTGTTCCCGCTGATATTCGCATCATTTCTGCTAGCTCATTCAAAGTGAGCGTGGTATCTTTTAACACACTTTAACCCGTTATCCCAGATTTTTTGCCATTCTGTTTTCCCTGTAGAATTTGTGCTGTTCGGGATCCCATTATAGGACTAGGAGCTAGTAGTCCTGTGCGATGCGCGTAATTGAGCGCGGACATCAGGAGGTGCACGAAACCAGATGCAATGTATTTTATTCCAGGGGTTACAAAAAATCGTGAATGAATGAGGCGAGACAGGAGCAAGTAACTCACAGAACAGACAAGTGTTGAGCCGGATGCAGGTGTAGAGCCGAGTATTCAGAAGCGAACGTTGTCGGACCCAATGTGTATTGTACCGAGCGGTAGTCCCCTGATCTGACGTGCTTGTAACGAGCTACAAAGAACTGGAAGCCAATTAGCGAACCACGGAGCGATGCACCGCATGACTTACAGCGGATTCGAAAATGAACCAGAGGTACCTTCAGTAAGACAAACGGACGTCTGTAAGCTACGAACATAGATAAAATTCATTGTCACACAGTACTGTAAGCATAACTGTTTCGTGTTCACTACCGAGACCAACTTGGCCATTGTTATGACCACCGCTTCACTCCAATTGGCTGTGCGTTCCGCCGGCCTCTACATTGCTATAATTATGGGTTCACTCTGATTGACTATTCGACCCCGTCCACTGAGTGGCTGACAGAAGAACAATGCCGGACCTCGTGAACCGTGTATTTGCCGAACGACAAGACAAAAAGTGGAGCATGCAGTTACATTTGTAGGTATCGGGCGGTCTTCTTGAATCTTTTTCTTTCCTTTCCCTTCCTTACTTGCCGATAATGGTATCAGAATCGGGAACATTATTTTCATTGAAAACGGGACTGTTTGAAGAACCCTTGGCGGAATCTGTTGGTTCTTGTCGAAAACAAGCGCCATCAGGGGATTCATTAGGAGGTGCCCCTCCTAACACCTCCCCGTTCGAAGTCCACTGGTGTACGATTCCAGTCTGGGATTGACTTGGAACGGTGTAACGCGGACTCTGCCTCGGTCTGCCCACCTGGGTCGACATTCAGGGCTAACACAGGATGTCGTGTGTTCATCTTGAGGAGTTGCATCGGTCTTCGCTAACTTGAATTCATCCAAGACTATTTCCATAGAAGTCGTCTAGTCACCTTCAGTTGTATTTGGCGAAACACATCCTATGCCGGTTGATATGGCGGACCCACCTTTCTTTGCCCAGGGTTACCTCATAGCAGACATCACCGTATCTTTTTGTAATTAGGCCACGTGTCATCCGATATTTCCGCTCCGATATTCTTTTGCCAGAACCAGCTGTCCAACATCGAAACTCCTAGCTATTGCTTGGTACCTCCAATTGTATTTGCGTTCCATTTTCTGGTTTCTCGCCGCGCTATGATTCTTCTGCGGTCTTACGAGGTCAAAAGTTGTTCGGGTCTTCCTCAGTTGCAGCGATTCGGCTGGGGATTTTCCCTCCGTCACCTGCGTATTGGGCCTCATCCTGTACATCAATAAAAAGGTCTGCAGAATCTCGAGAATCGATCCATCTCCCTTTGTTTTGAGCAGAGTTCTCTTGAATGTGTAGTCGAATCTCTCTACCTGTCTATTTGACTAGGGATAATAGAGAGGCGAACGAAGATGTCCCACCCCGTAAATCGCACAAAATTCGGAGAACTGCGCGTAGGTGAACTGAAGCCCGTTGTCAGACACAATTGTTTCTTCAGCTCAGGTAACACTGGCATCTGGGTCATAATGAACTTCGCAAATACTGTTCGACACGGCGTCCGCTGATGTGGGGTGCTTTTCAGTGCTCGGTCTTGTCTGATGCACAACCAGGCGCTGAAGAAGATTATCGAATAACCTTGATTGGCTTTCTTCAAATTGCTTTTGCTGCTGCTGGAGAATGGAGGTCAATTATTCCATTGGAGAACCAACATTGAGTTCTTCAATTCAAAATACATCTGTCACTAGTTGTTGTACCCACCGCTTCACTTCAGTTGCCTGTACGTACCGTCGACCTCTGCGTTGCTACAGTTACGAGTCCACTCTGATTGGCTATTCGACCCCGGCCACTAAGTGGCTATCAAAAGAACAATGTCGAATCTTGTGAACCGTGTTTTCGCCGAACGACAAGACAAACGGTGGAGCGTGCGGTTACATTTGTAGGTATTGGCGGCCTTCTTGAATATTCTTTGTCCCTTTTCCTTCCTTACGTGCCATTCATAATATCGGAATCTTCGGGAACGTTCTTTTCATTGAAACCGAGACTGTTTGAAGAAATCTTAGCAGAATCCGTCGGTTCTTTTGGAGAGCAAGTGCCATCAGTCGATTCTTTAGGTGCTCCTCCTAACAGCCATAGTGTACGGGGATTAAAACAAGGAAGAACAATTACACCAAATCAGTGAGCTTGTACTTAAAAGATAAGAATTATCTCATGGGAGTTGCAGTGCTACCCACTAGAAGTCTGAAGGTAAGAAGCCTCCTCTGTCAAAAATGGATGAATCGAGGTTCGTAGGACAAAGTGGTACCGAGCAAAGGTGAGTGTGAGCTTTCTTATCAAATTGGGATTCGCCGGAAATCCCAGTCCCCCGTGACGTTTGTTATTTATTATTTACTGATTACAAGACGAGGTACATTCCGGCGAGTCCTTGCAGTGGGCTTGTCGGACTTTAAACAAAACTGAGTAGTTGTGAATATATGGCCGACAGGGTCTCAACTTCCGCTGCTGCCAAACGGTGCGCTTGGAAGTGGCGTTCCCCCCCCCCCCCGCCGCATGCCATAACGACCCCCATCCGACAAAGAAACGTCTGTTGCTATCCTCATTGACTGCAGTGATCAACGAACGCATTGCTCATGAGGGCCAGTTGATCGTAAGAATGGTTTATAGCTCGTAATGACGAAAAACACACGCAGAACGCGGCAAAATGAATGAACTAATAGATTATGTGTTTAAATGCTTGGTTTTTTAAGGGTTTTCGGGAGTTTCCCGCTTATTCGTTTTCAAGACGTTAACTAACGAAGAACGGGGCAAATAAATACAATGTTTACACTATACATACTCAAACAGCGATATATATATATATATATATTGTTGCGTTTGTAGCATTTAAAGTAACTTGTGGACATTTCTTACTTATCACCGATTTGTTGCTAACCAACTTACTTCATATGGTAATTTAGCGAAGCGTTATGCCACCGTATCTGTATGCATTATTGGATTTATTTACTTTCAGCTTGTCGTTTAAAGTGAATGGCTGTTATTTGATATCCCTGGTATGGTTGCGCTTGATGTGTATGTTGACAAGGTGCCTACCTGTCTATTACCCACTACATCGTTCATACTGGCTCCAGGAGACAGTTGGTCGTTGCTGGAGGGGACGGGGTGCACGGTTCTTGTGGCCGTGTTAGGATCAAAGAGCGGTTCCATGCACTCAGTGTGGAGCGGACTACGGTCCAGCCACCGCCTTGTGTGCGGTTGATTCCCCAAATACAGCGTGCTTGTGTTTGCCTGTGAAGGAGTGTGGGCCGGCTCCATTGATGAAACGTGGTTCCCATCCGCATGCCTCCTGGTCTTATTCCTTCGGGTTTACACTGGATATGGGGTATGTGGTTGGAGCTGTGGGTGGTGCAGCGCAAGCCATCCATGGTCCCTCTGTAGGCGCAGGCGTCCTGTGGCTTGCCACAGTGACAGGCAAATCCGAAACCGGATGCCGCCAACCATATATATATATATATATATATATATATATATATATATATATAAGGGACAAACAACCCGTCGTAGCGTTTGGTGCATTCATTGCTATATTCGGGTCCGTTTTTCACTCTTATTAGACAATTCCACTGCAGCTGTTTGTCCGGATCTCTTGCCACCATGTAATTCCTTCTTCGCGCTGATAAGATGCAGATCATTCTGTGCGACGCGACTGCATTCATGCGTATTTTCTGTTTTGCTTTTACTTTTTATCTGCCTTTGTCACCTTGTTCATCCGAAGCGACAATACAGACGCTGAAATAGTCACTTCCGGTTAATGAGGTTTATTTTATCTTGGTACCGTGTTCCCATACCGTTATTACTCTTTATCATTGCACACTTGCGGATAGGCCTCTTCATTCTCTAATCCACGATGGTTTCCGGTGTTCATCTGTTTTTCGTATCGTAGTTATGCGCATCGGTCGCCGCGGAAAAGACTGCTGTTGCAAATTCGAGCTGATCGATGGCATTCAACGGCTTCTGTGCACTGGACGTGGTGTTATCGGTCCGGGAGCCGCCAGCAGCATCAGTGTGGAACGCGGTCGTGAGTCAGACGGTCCTCCTCCGACCCCGACTCAAGGTTTGACTGATGTCGGAAGTTTGGCTTTGGAATCCCTATTGAAGAGTTCCGCATCGCTGAGTCTGTCGGCCTCTTCCAGTTATCAGCCTGGCAGCAGTACCAATTCCATGCTTCGAGGTAAGCCATGGTGTGTGACTTATTTCTGTAAAGCCCAAACATTTTTTTCGTTATGCCACTATCAGCCAATTCACTATCGATCGGCAGCTGGCTCTCCGTTTGTTTTCCTTGTTGAACTGTAGACGTTTAAGTTGTCTGAATGCTTGGTAGGTTGTTTGCTGCGCCCAGTGAAGTCAGAGAGACGCATTCCGATTTGAACTGCAAAATTATATATGGAGGAACGCATTTCAGGATGTTGTATTAGTTTCCGATACCGTTTAATATGGTAAACCATTTTATATGTATGACGTTTTATTAAACTGGGCATTGTTTGCGAACACATCACGAGTATTACCGATGATAGAACTGGCTCTATACATAGAACCTCGGCAGAAAACTAACGGTACTTATGCATACCGAATGGGGTAGAGATATTTCATCTTGACACACATTCTGTACGCCAGTGTTTGCAATTCACCGGATTATAGTTGGAAAGACAATAAAGAGTAGGGTATGATGGGATTGTCCAGTGGATGAAAAGATGGACTCATGAAACAAATCAGGCGGTCGAGTTTAATCTGCTTTGACCACCGTTGTTTAGCAGTCGCGTAGATATATCGTCGTGCCTCGCGAGACCAGATCTTCTTAACTTGGATAAAAGCTATTCCTCTTTATTTGGTTTGCTCAATTCTCTTATTATGCTGCATATTGCGTGTCAATTTCGTGTGTTTATTTTCCATCAAGTTCTCTGTTGGTTGTTTGGTCCCCCAGTGTGGTTGCGCCTCATTTGAATATTGACAAGGTACCTACCTCTCTAGCACTCTCCACCTCGATTTTTGATTCCGGAGACTGACTCGTTGCTTGGGGACGGAGTGCACGATCCTCGTGGCCGTGCTAAGCTCGAAGAGTGGTTACATGCAGTGTAGAGCGGAATACAGCCCAGCACCGCCTTGTGTACGCCTGGTTTGCATGATTCTCAATTTAAATAAACGGAATTACTGATGTTGTGCTTTTTGAAAGAGTGTAGACCGGATCCGTTGATGAAACGTGGCTCCCATCCACAGGCCTCCCGACCTTATCCCTCCGGGTTCACACTGGATATGGGGTGTGTGGATGGAGCTGTGGGTGGTGCAGTGCAAACCACCCATGGTGCCCTGTAGGCGTAAGCGTCTTGTGAGTGTACTATAGAGGCCGTAGTGACAGACAACTCAGAAACCGGATGTCCCCAACTATATATACCGTCTTTGTGGGCATAGTCCGACCACCTGACTTGAGAGCACCTCAGGTTTTCGAAGTGATGGCTTCATGTCTGTCTCTGATAGAAGAGAATGGCATTGCTTAGATCGAGAGAATTGCTCTCCTAGCCTAGGTTGGTGCTGACATCCATTGATTAAGGTACAATGCAGACACAGGTGTCCGGTGGGATTCACGTGCCATGTTTGTCACTGTGTATGCGTTGTGTGTCCGCTGTAGTGAGTAGGTCCGCGTACGCATTTGTCATGCACATTGTGAGTCTTTCGAGTACCGGAAACTCATTGATCTCAAATTTCGAGGATCTCCATTACGAAGTCGTTCGTCAATCCTTAAAATTGCAGATTATCCCCAACGCGTGAATCACTACAGCGAGAAGAACAGGCTTGGTTCCGCCCTGGTCGCCGGCTGCATCGATCAGCTTTTCACACTCCGCCATATGAATCCAAAGCCAATGATTGTTGTGTTCCTGGATATCCGTGCTATCTGCGATTCTGTCGACAGCGCTGCATTGTGGCACTGTCTGTTTAGGAATGGTATTCCCGGGAAGTTCGTTTCTATTCTGCGTGCTCTGTATAGTCTGACTTCGGGTAGAGTTAGGACTTATGGCAAGCTTTCGCCTTCCTTGGTTGTCACCAGTGGGGTTCGACAAGGATACCCTAGCTCTCCATTCCTCTTCAAGTTTGCCATTGAGGATGTCCTCAAAAATGCTCTAGAAGACTTGTTAAATGCCTTTCAATGAGGATGCCGCTGCCAAGCGCCTAACCAAAGGTCTTTCAGCGGCAGTCAAATCGACATTCCCAGCAGCCGAGCTAAAGTGTAACTTTTCTACTGAACCACTTGTTTGTTCACGCAGTAAGGATATTCTGCTATTGCTGACCTCATCTATGGTTATTTATCAGTTCAACTGCGCTTGCACTGCTGCTTATATCTCTCAAGCGGCACGGCATTTGTCCAAACGCGTGAACGAGTACCGCCCATTCTGGTTGCGTCAACGAGGAACTGGAGCCATTAGCAGCGCCGTTTTGGCCCATGTTATCGACACTCGGCACCAACTTGAGCTAAAGCGTGCATCCAGGATAATTTACAGGGCCCCTCATCATCAATCAATAGATTTGCGCCTCCGTGCACTCGCGACAGCTAAATCGATTTGCGTCCGGTTGTTTCAACCTTCTTTATGCTCACAAAAGTAGTTGATCCCTGTCCTACAGCTTCCCTGGCCAGCTAGAACGAACGATGCTGAGGTCGACTGCCACAGGTCAAGCTCGGTACCATGCAATCGACCTGTCAGGTCAAATGCCAACTTTTAGCCTCCCTCATTGAACCTTTAATGGACTAAGTAATTTGAGTCAGGGGTTCGATCAAAGTTCCTTCTTTTATCCCTAAATATAATTATAACGGTCTGAAGAGAAGCATCGAAAACAATTGTTCGCCTATGGTCTATTTTCTATATATATAATTACGTGGTGCTGGTATTTAGTCTGGCGCTCTGTCTCCAGGAAAATGTCTTCACGCTTCATGTAGCATTGTGGCTATATTCCGTATGGCGTAGTATCTCACTCTATCAAATCTCTGCTTCATCTTGACCAATTCGTACAGGTTTCCTTCTTTTTTATTTTTACCTGCTATCCTGTCTCCTTTGTAGTCTCCGTTGATGGTGTCGAATGGGTAGGTCTTCGATTCTTCCAGATCACGTCCACATGGCGAACACACATTAAATCGTTCCCGCTGTGCTCCCTCTCTGTCGGACGAGCGGATCCTTCCCATGCGAACGACTCGTTTCCGATCTCAGTCGATCCGACCACGTTCTCGTCACACTAACGGCATCAGTGTGGCACCCACTTCCCTATCCGACCAGCTACGCCTCTTTCTCCTCTCAGCCACTTCTACACTGCACATGAGCAGTCTGTCCTGTGCATTTATATCAGTCCATTGTTGTCGTCTTCGTCCCACTTGTCTTCCATCCACCTATTTCCTCGAGTCGCGAAATCTACGTTCCGACCATCATCTGTCCACGCAATCTCATATTTCCTCCATTGACTCTGCTTTATGTCGTTTGCTTTATTCTCCTTCCATCCAATGAGTCAATCACCTGTGTGTCCCCCCGTCAGCGGCTTCCTTTTTGCTTTCGCGCTCTTCCATGTCCCCGTCCGGTTTTTCTTCTCTCCATCTTTTCTCATCGATTCGCGCCGTGATTCGGAAACACTTTCCGATTCTCATTTGCGTCTTTCGTGCGGCAAGATGATGATTCAACGCTTTTGTGCACTCTATCCATGACCGACAGTCATCTTCTCAGTGCTTCCTGTGTTTTGCGCTCATCTCAGCACATCCACTTCGTCCTATTGTGATTTGTTTGTATGATGCATATATTCTAGTCTGCCTGCGTTAGCCGCGCTGTTTGTCTCCCTGTTACTGGGCTCCACCGATTGGTCAGCTCGACTTCTCGCCGCCGCCGCCGCCGAATATTCAATTCCTCGCTTGAATCTCTTAGTGGTTTGTTTATTTCACGCGGCATTTACGGTGAGTGTTTGGGTGTTATTTTTAACTCTGGCTAAATTCTCCTTCATTGCTAGTGTTTTTGTGCATAGTTGACAGCGTCACTTAAAATGCGGTGCTAGCCAGTGCTTTTTCTTGTACGCTCTATTTGCTTCAACTCTCTACAATCCTGATGCTACCGAAGTAACCTGTTGCCGAGAACCCTGAAACGCGGTGATGCCAGTACAAGTTTCGTTCTATTTTCGGGATATATGGATATTATGTGAGGTCCATCACAGTCAGTTTCCAAATCAGATAGTCGTCCACATGCCCGGAAAAGCACTAGACTGCAGTTTCAGCCTGTTGGGCATCGTTCGAATCCTGACGGCTCCGATGGATGCGCACTACTGACGTTGCCCAACAGGCTGAAACTGCAGTCTAGTGCTTTTCCGGGCATGTGGACGACTATCTGATTTGGAAACTGGCTGCGATGGACCTCACACACACTCATGAGTACATCAAATTTTATCCGCCCTGACAGTTTCTAAGTGCTATGTCGTACATAGCTACTGTTAATGGACGTCGTGTCTTTCTGGGCCAACCCTGTCCTCTGCAACGTTCGTAACTTGCATGGCAGTGGAAGATAAGACGCGCTATATCGCAGTTAGCTTGTAACTCGTGACGGTGCGAAGCTGTCCCCCGTGTCCCAGTGGTTCAAGCTGCAGGTGGTCATGGGTTCGAATCCTGACGGATCCGATGGATGCGCACTACTGACGATGCCCAACTGGCTGCAACTGCAGTCTAGTGCTTTTCCAGACACGTGGACGACTATCTGCTTTGGAAACTGGCTGCGATGAACCTCAGATAATTACATCAAAATCCCCTACTCATGAGTACATCATATATGGATATGCTACCACAGTTTAGGTTATTCTTGTCCACGAAAGTGAAGCTTACTTCACCGGTCCGAGGCGTGCTTTCTAGCAATCCTGCGATACTAATGCGGTAGGCGGATTCACGCTTTACAAAGTTGGTCAATGCAGTCGTTAGCCTTCATGATTCCGAACAAGATAATAATACGTAATCTGTAAAATTACTCAGTCGTTTCGTGCATTTCCATCAACTACGAATATACAACCAGCGATATTCTTTAAAAGGCAGGATTACCTGAGTTCGCCTGACGTACCTAAAGTTACCACGGTGATTCTGAGTCGTTGTTACTTGTTTCTGCACACTCAAGACCGATAATATAATGGTTTCCAGTGATCTGAGGATGTGAGTTCAAATTGCCCACTAGGACGGTGGATAGCCTACTGGTGTTGAATTGGTTTCCTGTACTCAGCAAATGGACTTTGATTTTCAAACTAGCTCCGCTGCTAGATTCACAGTACACGTTACCTGTCATTGCGTGACTACTATTTGTGTATTGAATCAATTTCATGAACTTCCGCCATGACATTATTCAGAATAAGACAACACAGTCAACAGAAGTTAAGTTCGTTTGTGCTTTTCCGGTTGAATTCCAAAAGGGGACTCCCAATGCTTGCTCAGATTTCGCGCCTACGATACCGTCCTTACGTCCCACTCGATTGAAAATCAAAGATTTATCCTTCGGATTGATGTGTAAGGCAGCACTCCGTCGACTTCACATCGCACCCAGGCTGCGACACTAAACCTGAAAACGCAAGCTACTGAAAAGCGCTACTAAAAATTGTTTAGTTGGTGTAAAGCATTGCCTTTTCCATGTCGCAATGCCACTTCAGATATGCTTTATTGCCCCATAGTATGAAACACTCCGTAGTGTGGAATATAACGCAGCATTGTATTAATGCCTACTACTTTATATGATCATCCTAAACAAATCACGTTCTTTGTCTAGGGTGGAATCAGTTTTCTGACATCAGGACCTTTTAGCCAGATACTACCGTTGACGTCATCTACTCTGTTTAGACGGGAATTTGTCATGAATTGTTTGTTTTGCACTTCACATGGATTCAAATGCGCGGACGAATATGGATCGCCATCACCAGTGGGTGTCCATATTTCACAAAGGTACGGTCTACATAAGGTGCCTATTTTTAAGTTTACCGAAGAGACCGACCAATCGTCACCGTTGTTAGTTCACCGGACCACACCACCGCTAAGCGACCGAAATGCATGCCACATCTAGTGGTAACATACGCTTTGTCAAGCACCGTGCTGCGTTCTTACATGTCGCGGCGGCTGACTTGTTCGCTTGACACGCAGTGCCTTTTTACCGATTATCGGGTTGAACTGGACTGTTGGTCGCCTCTGTGAGTTTGCCTCAACAACTCAATTTTCCGCCGCTCCTGTTCATGAAATGTTAAGTTGCATACGCTCAATGCATCACACTTTCAAGGAGAGGCATACGGATATATAGAGGCAGTGTGAAAACAGGTAGTCGTTGTTAGCTGACATACAGATGCACGATTGAAGAAAAGATTGATGTTATCGTCAGACTGACGAGGCTGTATAAGCGTTTAGTGAACGATATGCTACCAATCCTAGATTCGGATAAGGCCATTGGGCAATTAACCACTACACTCAACACGATGCACCCGAACATGATGGTGATCGCCCGCATCAAGGAATGCTGACAACACGGCGACCTTATTGCTCAGTCAAATTGTCCATATACGGCAAAGAAACTTGGCTAGGTCAGTGTTTGCATTTTAGGGGCGCCCGTCAGACACAACTCAAATGCTGTCTTGTCCGGGCATTGCATTTTCTAGCCGACATTATGTGCACCCTAGATAAATGAGAACTGGTATGGAATTGCTATTAAGTACAGTATAGTTAAACCACTATCAGCTGAAGTTCACAAACCCCCTGTGATGGAAATGTGATACCAGAGTGAACGTGTAGTGCAACCGATCGATCCCGACAATCAGTGGGGACGGGTTGGAAGGATTCTATTACTAGACACCGATTGGCCGACATTCTTGGGAATTACCCACCGTTTGTCTGAATCAAAGAGCAGCCTCATCTACTCATTTGGGGCGTTAGTTGTGGACGTGAACGTGCAACGTATATCGAGGAGTTTGAGTTGCCAAACATGCTGTAATTTTTGCTGGGTTGACCTTGCCGAATAAACACTCATCCGTGAAGGACTGAGTTCTGTACCAACCCTCGTAACATAATCAAGTGGCCTGGAGCGCCAATACTTTGAAATAGGCCGATTTGAATGAGCTATTTCGATTACACCATAAATGTATCTAATAACAGATAACCGCTATACTGAAAAGAGCGTAGAGTATGGTGATGATGGTTTCCCGCGTCGCACAAGACCTCTGCTCATGTATTCGGATGGGATACCAACAGCTAGGCAGCGTATGTCCCGTTTTTATATGAATCGATCTATTGTAATGATAATTTCAAAACAGCGACTGGATTATTAAACATACAAACTCTTGCCAATACGAATGGGAGCTTTGCCGACAGGTTCAAGCCAAGTCAACAATACGCTTTATGCACCCGTGAAGAGTCCATATTCAGCCACACAACGCAGGTAAAATTGAGGAAATGTGGACCAAATGAATATGGTACGCTTGAAGTTTGTAAAGTTGGCAGTAGTGATATCATCGATTCAATTTGGCAATACGTTCTTTTTTGACGACATATTGATCCCTCGGATAACATGAAAAATGTGGAACAACTGATGTGCCATAATTCCGTATCCGGGCATAAATGACTGTAGTGTTGTCTGGTCGAAGATGCCGAGTTACATTCCGACAGTACACTATGGTGTGTTCACTGGCTTCAGCTTTTTTGCAAGATCGAACGTGATTTAACACAATGACGTCAGTAGACTCTAACATTGAAATTCCGCTGCAGGGGGCAAGCTGCTACAGTGACCTGTTGATCGATTTTAATTGCCCGTTTAACAATCAAGGAAATATCACAGGTGAGCAATACGTTCAGTGCGGTGTTGTACATGTCATGACAAGCCGTACGATAAGTTAACGAGGCACGGATGAAGTCGGGAGACCTAGGGCGTTAGCCTATGACTAATGAAGGTTTCGCTCATATGATGGGATCACGTAGGCTCCCAACTTAGTGTATCTCCTTGATGTTTCATTGATGTACAAAAGTTCGGACTGACACTATCCATACTAAGATGCGGAACGTGTCTGAGTAGTTGCTGGTAATAATTTTCCTTAGGCAGCGTGAAAAGAACCTCTGCTATTTGATGCGTTTAGCGAAAGACAGCTGCATTTGGATCAGGCTGTAAGGATGTCCAACTAGCATCCCAGGTGGACCGATGAATCTGGTGCGGTTATGTACACCAAGGACCTTGTCATCAGCGTACTACATCAGGAAGGTTT